AGAGCTTCTTGAAGTTCTTGAGCTCTAATTTTTCTAATACTTTCTTAATATTCATTATGCTAGCAGTAAACATCTGAATATTCTTTTTCTTATATATTTGATAAATTAACAACTTGAATACTTTTACTGATATTTGAATAAAATCAGTAATTCTATCAATATTCTTTTTATAGACACAGTTATCTTCTGAGAAAATAAGACAATAATTATATATATTTAATAAGATTTCAAATTCTGTAAGTTATGACAGATTAAGTATTAAATTATACTTAAAATTCTATACTTTATATATGAAAATACTCTTCTTCTTATATTCTTCTATATCAATATTAAATCTTACTATATTATAGAAGATGAATTCTCTAGAATTATCAAATTTATTTAATTTATACAGTTCAGAGAAAGAAATATACTGAAGTTTATACTTCTCTATCAGCTGAATATTTATAAAAGTATAATGAAGAAAATCACTGTCTATTATTGCATATATATTGACTAGACTATTTACAATGACAGAGATTATAATTATATTTATTTATATCTTCTACTCAAATCTTTAGCTGACTTATTGTTTCTTGAGTTTTTATCTATATTTTAGAGTAAAAGCTCTTCTTTTCTCTGTTCTTATTTATCTGCAGATGATATAGTGTTCATATATATAAAAAATCAATTTAAAAGAATTATATTTGAGCACTGATTTATAAAGTACTCTGATTTATTGCAGTATATACAGACTTCTCTGATAATTCAGTTGATGATATTTTTATCTGAAATATTGAAAACTCTTAAATATTCAGTATTTATATAAGAGATTCAGTTCATTGACTCTGATTTGAATGTGAAGATTATTATAAGATGATTTGAAATATATATATTTGTTCAGTAGAATTCTTTGTAATTCTGAAATATATAAAATTGAAATAAATTATTATTAAATAGACAGAAATCTATACAGTATTCACTGTATATTAAGAATTTTAAATACTCTATATTTCAATTATACAGCTGAAAGTTCAAATTTTTGAACAGTATATTAATCTTGATAATATCATCTCAGTTCTGTCTGTCTGTTTCTAAGAGTTTGTAATTAAATTTAGATAGATAGATTACTAATATAGTGTTCTTCTGACAGATCTTATTTAGTCAGTTTAATATTTTAATTTAAAATATAGAATTAAAAAAAAGAATATCAAGCTGTTAGAAAACTAGCTCTGATATACACTGATTATTCAGATAGTAATTTATTCAGAGTTGAAATTTTACTAATATATCATTATCTAATCTACTGTGAATATATTATATTTAATTCAATAACAAATCTATTGCTTGATTATTGATATTCAACTTAATATTTATTTTTAACTTTTATATAAAATATAATACTAGATCTTCTATATACTTGTTGAGAATTGAAAGCTTTTCTTTTAAGAATTTCTTATAAAATATAGATGTAAAAAGAATGATAAATATAGATATATTTATTTTAATAAATTGTTATTATAGCTCAGTCATCTGCAGCACTTGCTGCTGAAGAATACTTTATAGATTTAAATTATTATTTACTGTGTTCAAATACAGCAGATGCTTATAGATCTGTTGATAACTCATTTCAGTATTTAAAAATATATAATTCTAGAGAACAGAATACTTATAGATACTCAGACTCTTATAAATATTATTTATAATATTACAGTGTTAAGCTTATCAAGCTTTTTTATGAATACTATTTGCAGTGTTATGATTTGTAGATATTCAGATCTCTTTGTAAGACAATTGATTGTATTATAGATGCTTAGATTTAATGATTTATATATCTAACAATGAGAATATTTGAACTTAACAAGAAACTTATATAATGACTAGACACTCAGATCTTTTTTAATATAATCAATATATTTAATATAGAAACTGATAACAAGATACTCAGATTTTAAATGTAATTGATATATTTGAGTATTGAAATTTAACAATTAGATATTCAGATTTTAAACACAGATGAATTGATTTGTAATATAATGAATATATTATTAATTAAGCAGATATTACTAATGTTGTAGATTAAATCATTTATACTATCTACACAGTTTATATAATCTGTTTCAACAGTACTATCAACAAACTTGATACTATTCTGATAACAGTTTATAAATTGATTAAAAAAAGAAAGAGAAAGAAGATCAGAGAAAGAGATTGTATGAGAGGATTTTTATAGACAAGAGAATCAGAGTGAAAAAAATATCAGAGATCACACTCTGAAGAAGCACAGAATAAAAGAATTGTTAGAGTATTAAGATATACACAATTATAAAGTAGAATTGTGAGAAGATATAAGAGAACTTTATAAATATATGTGAGTATGTGAGTGTGTGATAGAGGATTGATTGTGTAAGTTAACTGCTAACAGATGCTAACCCATTATAAAAATCAAGATATTATATTCAATTATGAATTAGTTAGTGTTAGATATTCAATTCAATGATAAATCAGTATTTGAAAAAGCTAAGTCTTTACTGCAGATTTAAAAGTAAGAATTCTGAGTATTTTAATCAATCAGAGATTCAGAAATCTGTTTTATATCAATAATATCAACACAATTTAAATCATTATTTTGTAATCTTATATATTTAATCATTTCAGCCATATAATGAGCAACTTTTGACACTCTCAGAACTTTGTATGATTCTTGAGACTTTACTTTACTTCATCTAATAAAGTACTCTGATTTATTATAGTAAATATAGACTTTTCAGATAATTCAATCAATAACTTCTTATCTAAAGAGATTTGATATTCTTGATTATTCTATACTTATATAAGAGATTCAATTTATAGTATCTATAGAGATAGTTGATGCAGTTAATATAATAATAGATATATAATTCTATCTGTAATTATTATATCTTTCTTGAATAGTATTGAAGTATATGAAATTGTTATTGAGTTGATGTAAGTAAATGCAGTAGTCATAATAATATATAAATATAAAATATAAAATACAGAGTTTGAGCAGTTCAAAACTAATATACTGATTCAGAAAATTAATTTTAATAATATTATCTCAGTTCTAATTTTCTGTTTTATATATTTTGCTGTTAAAGTCAGATAGATAGTTTATCAGCAGTATATTTCTCTAATAATTTCTATTCAATCACTGTATTATATATACTTAAAGTATAGAGTTCAAGAATAGAATATTCAATTGATGAAAGACTTCTTCAGATATATATATTTTATATATATATAATTCAATTCAGAATTAAAACTTTGCTAGAGTATCTTCTTCTAATTGATTATAAATATAATAAATCTATAAGAATAGAAAGTCTATCACAGATTCATCTTCTTCAAATTTAATTTTTAATTTTTATTTTTAAATTAGATAAATTGAAAGTTCTTCTATAAATTTATTGAAAAGAGAAAGATATTCTTTTCTTTTATATATAAAAAGTATTAATATTTGCATGATTTTTGATATATTTATATTCAGATTATTCAATTGTTATTGAAACTCTGTTATTTATAGAGATTACTGCTGAAAAAAGCTATAAAATTCAGTATTGTCTTCAGTGAGATTTTAATTCTCATTTATAAAGAAATATTTATAGAAATATTTATAATTCATTTTATTTTTATATAAAATTATAATTCTTGATTCTGATAACTTGAAAATCAGAAGATTCAGTTCTTATTTTTTAAAGAAAATACTTTGTAGATACTCTGATCTCTTTATAGATATATAATTATAAATTTCTAAATACTTGAGCTTCTTTGCAATACTATCACAGTGATGCAGCTTTATGAAACTTAAGAGCTTGTTCTTAAATCTATTCTTAACTTAAATATTTAATACAATTATAAATATAGAGCATTCAGACTGATATAGATGAATTAATTTATAATATAATAAATATATCACTAATTAAGTAGATATTATTGATGTTGTAGATTAAACTGTTTATATCATCTGTATAGTTTATACAATCTATTTCAATAATACTATCAATAAACTTAACACTATTCTGATAACAGTTTATGAATTGATTAAGAAAGAAAAGAGAAAAAGAAATTGAAAGAAGAGATTGTATGAGAGGGTTTTTATAGAAAGAAGATTAAGATGAAAGAATATTAAGAGTTATATAGAGCAATTATTAGAGACTATACAAGTGTGAAGTGAAATTATAAGAAGAGAGATGTTTAGTAGATGTGTGAGAGTATATGAGAGGGTGAATGGGTGATAGAGGGTTGGTTGTATAAGTTAACTACTAATGGGTACTAACCTGTCACAGTAGTTTCTAATGATTTTTTCATATAATTCTTAACATTCTTCCACTTCATACTTCACTGCTATATAATCTTCAATATTCTTTCATTCTGATCTTTTCTCTATAAAAATCTTCTCATACAATCTCTTCTTCTGATCTTCTTTCTCTTTCTTTTCTTAATCAATTTATAAACTATTATCAGAATAGTGTCAAGTCTGTTGATAGTGCTGTTGAAATGAATTGTACAAACTGTGCAGACAGTACAAACAGTTTAATCTGCAACAGCAGTAATATCTGCTTAATTGATGGCACACCCATTACAATTTGATTAAAGTCTTCTTTTTCACTGCCATTTTTACTTATATAGATGAGTCTTTATACTTATTATATATTTCTATACTACTCAGTGTATTCAATATATATTCAACTCTTTTTATCAGCACATCGGGTATATTTATTTTAATAGTATATATTATTACCCAGCTAAGTAAGAGCAACAAAATAGATTGGGCGATATATATCTGAGGTCGCCGTAGTAATGTCTAATATAACGAGTGATAGATCTGTCTAGCGTTCTAATGCTAAAATCCAATTATGCCCAGCAACATTACAGGTATATTTCTGACAACGAATTTCACCTTCATGCTCTTTCACTCCACTTCTTGAATATCATCCTTTTCACTTCCACTATTTCCTTGAACATACTCTCTTTCTTTGTTATTTGTTCTCTCATCAAGCATGAGTCGTGCTACTTCCATCCATTCAACGTCTAATCATCTCAATGCAATATCCGCTGAAGTCTCCGGATACCCCACCACCCACCCCTCCGCCGCCGCCGAACTCACCAATCTTAAGATAAGACTGCGCGGTGCTCTCCGTCAGTTCCCTGACTTCCCCTCTGAGGGAATTTTATTTGAAGACATTCTTCCTATTTTTGCAAATGCCTCTCTCCACGAAGCGTTAATACGATGTTTGGAACTACTCATTATTGAGACTTATGGGGATGCTCAGAAACCGGATGTTGTTGTTGGTTTGGAAGCCAGGGGGTTCTTATTTGGACCATCGCTTGCGTTGAAATTGGGTGCTGCATTTGTGCCAGTGAGGAAGAAGGGGAAGCTACCTGGACCTGTTGAAACAGTGACATATCAGAAGGAGTATGGTCAAGACTCTTTTCAGATGCAAGCAGACGCTATTAAAGCTGGTCAGAAGGTACTCGTGGTGGATGACATTATCGCAACAGGTGTGTATCCTTTTTTCATTCTAGCTATAATTTTTATGTTTCTTGTGTGTTATACTGGTGTTAATTCGTATACATCCACACAGGTGGATCCGCAAGCGCAGCTGGAGCTCTTGTTCAAAAACTCGGAGGCACACTACTCGGTTTCATTTTCCTTCTTGAACTCGATTTCCTCAAAGGGCGTGAAAATCTTCCTGCTCCGGCATACACTGTTCTCTCAACACAATAATCGCTTTCATTATTATAGAATAAAAAGTTTTACTCCATTCAGCCATTTCAAATGAAATTCATTCATATTTGTTAATTTTTTTTTTCCATTAAAACTCTAATAAAGAGACAGAACAATATTCTATAATTTTACTAACTCATCGCACAGAGTGCGAACAAATACTGCATACTGGCGTATCACATCATAGACTGTACAAAAGAAATTGTATAATAGTGTATGATTATAAAAGTTGCAGAATCTTGAGTAGGTATTTTTGCTTTAAAAACAAATATTTTTTCAATTATAGATTGGAGATGTTTATGATTATGAATATGCAATACTGATGCTTCCAGACCTTTGTCACTACAGTCTGCAACAGTAATGTTAACCAATTCCCAGGGTAATCAATACACGGGTCAGGCTTTACAGAGGAAAATTACCTCGACACCAATTATTGACTTTACTCCGCTCCAAACCCCTCCCAATCCGATTCCTCATCAAATTGAGCATCATTACCATTTCTTTCTGCCTCTTTCCCACCACCGGTCGGGCATATCGTGGTATCCACAGCACTCCTATTTCTCTCAAAGCTACTGTCCCGAACAAATCCAGCCACAAAGAACCCTCCTGTACACTCCTTATCGTTTGGCCAACATCGCAAACACCCTTCCCTTTCCGTCTCAGTCAAATCCCAGATCTCCCCTCCTCCATCTCCAGACTCCCCGGGCGTTATGCCCCGGTATTTCCACTTCCGTAGTCCTTCAACCTGTTCATGTCTTGAAATGATCCGCCATCCACGTCGTTGCGCTACCGGTGACTTCAGGGCGCGTGCAATGACGACTTCATTCTCCTGCGCATGAATAGAGCAGGTGCTATATGTGACTCGTGTAGCGTTGGGAAACCTAAACGCATGCTCAACAATTCGGGTTTGGAGGTTAGACAACTTGGTGAGGCGGCCAGGATCGATATTAGTTGTATTTTGATGTTCGGAGGCTGCAGGTCTCCCAAGTGTTGGAACTGGACTGGGAGCAGGACGTTTCCGTTTCATGCCCCGGTCATGAGGGTCTTGAAAACTTGGCAAAGCTAGGCAAGGCATGTCGTCCCTTCCAACTATCCCCGTCCCAGAACAACTGGGATCCAGAAGTAGACCCGTCACATCTTGGAAACGCTTGTCATCCGGGGAGAGAGCAAGGAAATCCTGACCAGGCAAGACAGAAACCATCGTTTCCGCACCAGCGATAGCCACCATCCGTTGTAAAATTCGTGACCGGTTTGGCGAGACGTCGCATGAAAATATGGTGAATTTATCTTGAGTTGAGTGTATCCCGTCACCAAAATGACTTTTTGAACTTGAACATAGTAGTGAGGCAAGATGGGTTGTCTTGTTACCAGGAGCCGCACAGGCATCCAGCAAATCCCCCTTCCATTGTGCCGCGTCAGAGCCCAGGAGCAAATACGCTGGAAAGCAAGACGCCTTGTCCTGTAGTATTACCATACCTTTCTTGTAAGCTGCTGATGACGTTAGCTGTGCATCTTGTGACACAGCTACAAGGTCTGGGATATGAGGGTCTTGATAGAGAGAGTCCGGAGTAGTGGCTACTAACTCCGATAACGAGTGGACCAATTTGTAAGCCGAAAATGTTGTCTTCAACTGCTCATCAAGCGTTGTAATGACATTATTTATCCTGGCCCATCTAGGAGGGACCAATATTGAATCTTCCCGTCCGGAAGTATTTTTCTGCCTCTTGACGAGAGCTTCGAGTTCCTCGATGGAGGCGCATTGTCGATGCACTCGGGACTTGACGAACTCCGCTTTGATGCGAGATTTATGTCTTTCGATTGCCAAACGCAAAGGGTGGTTTGAAGGAGCCACAATGCCTTTTTTCGTTAACAGGAAGTCGTGGACTAGGAGAATCGAGAGCAGTGGGGTGAGCTATGGAACCCAGTTGTAGAAATTAGTTTCAACTGTGCACCTTACTCATTTACCGTAAGTAATTTGCAACGGACTGACCTTTGGTTCAAGCGGAAGAAAGTTGGCATTCTCAACGACCTCTTTGAGAAGGATATCCCATTTTGCAGTCTCAGTTATCAAAGCGTAGACTTGCCTTGCAGGTGATTTGAGTTTTGACTTGTAGACCCGGGATTTGAACGAGCCACCGCTACCGGAGTCACTATATAGAATTGATGCCGCATCTATGTATAATGACATTGCAGCCGACGTGTATACTTGTGAAAACCTCCCACATCAATCGTGTTTCAAAATCGTTGGCATCCCAAATGCTTGCTGTAGAAGGATAACGTTGTCGTTTATTATTATCCAGCTAAGTGAGAGCATTTAGATTGGGTGGCACGTGCCTGGCTCAGCAATACCTGTAATGCCTAACCCTCTTATTGCAGCGTGGTTATAGAAGCCACCTGCTGCTCAGCAGAATCTCTCTCTCACTCAAACACTTTAAAACTACAATAATAATTAAATATAAGATCTGAACTCTGATTTTTCTTTTATAAAAAGAATCTGTATAACAAAGAATTATAAAAATAGAAAAAATATAAGTAAAATACATCAATCTACTATATATATATGTCGATGATATATCAACACATTTTCAACACCAGTATTCCTTTTGGATAACCAACTCTTGGCTGTATTTAACATCACACAAGGACTTGCCATAAGCACTGCTTGCATACAAGCATAAGAAAAGAAGAAGAATAAGAAGAAGAAAGTAGTAGTTCTAAGACAGCAGCTTTAACTCTGAGTCTATAAATAAAAAAGATAAAAGTAAAGATTGCGTTATAAGAAAGACTAAGTGATTGTCATATATATATAGTCTTAAGCTATTTCAATATTTATACTGCTTTGTTAATCAGGCTATGTACAGTTCTCAATGAATCTGTACCTAGTAGGTCCTAGTTATTTTAGATATTCATTTCAGAGTTGTTGTGAAAATCTGAAGACCGTTGTTTTTCATCTTTCTTTAATACTATTCTGTGATTTCTCTGTAAGTAGTTACTCTATCTCTTTCTCAATATATATCCAAGGAGCTATAAAATGATGCAGTATTCTTCTCATTAGTGTTTTTTTCGCGGGTCGGGTTGAAAAAGTGGTGGGGGTTGCCCGAATAAACGGGTTCACTGGTTCACCTAATTAAACCCGCAAACCCGACCCGGGTTTTTAGGGGCGCTTAGGGCGCTTCTAGTGGGTGACGTGCCTAAATTATTTAACTAGGTTTAGTTAAGCCCGGGCACGGGCCACCTAAGCGCGGGCGTATTATTTCACGGGTCGGGTCCAGTTCCGGGGATGGCATGCCCGCAACAACAACGGGCTTTTTCACGGGTCGGGTTCTCAACGCTTTTATCATGATATCTATATCATTCTACAAGTATTCTATGTAGAGTGTTCTTTAAGAGAATTCAGTGATTGAAATGAGAATAATCTATATAAGTAAGATGCCATGTGTAGCGCCAATAATTCTTGTTTGATATATCATATGCCTTCATTAAAACCTGCTCTTGGATTGAAGAAGTTCGCTTTATATAGATCTGCCATTGCAAGAAGAATCCCTTAATCACTTAGTTATTAGTTACAAAGAATAAGGTGAGTAAGATGAGGATTGAATTCACAAGGAAAAGCTCTTTATATATATATGATTGATTTTATGAGAAGAAATATTTACGAGAGCTATGGTCTCAGCATTGGGTTTATTATGAAAATGAAAATGAAAAGAATAAGAAAACTTCATCAACTCTAGACAGGGATTCCTTACCCAAGATGGCGTTCTCTAGTGTGAATAGTTAAAACTTTATGCAGAGGAATCTGCACCCTGTTCAAGAATCTATCGGGCCATCCTATCCTTCGTCTTTTGACTTCTGTTCTCCCAACAACCCACTTCCACACGTCCTCGCAATCTCAGCCTCCTTTGCCTCCAACACTAACCGTTCACACAGCGCCGTTACATCGATGTCAGGTACAGTCACATCTCAAGCTGCAACAAACAACCCAATCTCTTCAATCCAGGCCCCTTCGCCTATGAGTTCTGCCACCACGACACCAGCAAACAATTCTCCCACCTCCCCCAAGCTACAAAACGCTCAGCTTCTTCAATTACCCCCGCAATCGCGCCAGCTCCGCCCCCCAAAATCTCCCTTGTACGTTCCCGCGGTTCTCCGGCCCACAGCACGCACAACAAAACCTCCTCCTCCCACCCCTCCACGGAGTTTTCATGGCTCCTTAGACAGTCTGGATAGTCAATCGAAAAGTGCTGGCCCTATTCGCCGGACTTCATCGTCTGAGAGCACGGAAATCGCCGTGAGCAAATGTGCTGAGGACGTGTGGATGAAGGATGAAAATCTGGGAGAGGTGACTGGTTCACCCACTCGGGATCATTGGAAGGTATTGAAACCATATGACTTATTTTCGTTTCCTGCATGCAATCGCTCCACGATGAATTCCCTTATGCGACCCATTTTTTTGGTGCTTCGCTCCCTTGCTCCACGCTAGAGACATGCTCACAAATATCCTTCCAGGCCGATTCGGCATCCCCTAACTGCGATTCACCCACTTGCCGATCTTTCTTTGGTCTCTTCCTTCGCCGACATCATTGCCGGCACTGTGGACATGTCTTTTGTTATTCACATACTCTCCACATGGTACCCCTGGATCAGAATGCCAGCTTTCATCCTGGTGGGATCCCTTCACGTGCGTGCGATCTCTGCTGGAATGCCTACTGCCGCTGGCAAAAGGCTCGCGCCACGCGACTCAATAACATACAGCAAGGTCTTGGCTCCGATTTAGAAGATATGAAAGATAAAAAGCCATCGTCTGCGAGGACTATGCGAGCTCTTGGCCCCGATTACGTCTCGCCTACCCGTCCGAGTGGCATCCCCCAGGCAATCGATCAGGATGGCCTCGCGGCAAGCAGCGTCCCAAGAGACTGGAGCTGGAGCACATTCTGACCCACTACATCAATAAGCGGTCCCCCTTTCCATATATCCATGTTCCCTACCTAGAGTTGCATTGCATACAAGTCTTTTTGATGACGATTGGCGTCTCGGCGCCTACCTCTGATTTTGACAGCCCATAATCAATCTTGAACTTTTATCTATTCTTGGGATGCTCGGTGGAAATTTTGCTTCTTTCACTTGGCATGATTTAGATTCCTATTGTTTTATATTCCTGCTTGCTGCAATAGACTGCTGTGGCGCATTGTGATTGATATATTTTGCATTTGTTCATTCTTTGCCGTCATTTCAACTTTTGGTCGTTACTTTCTCTGCTTTATTTTGATATATAATTTTTTAACCACATGCGATAACCCTCAATGCTGCAATTTTGCGAAAGGATAGCATCGTCCACCAGCGTTATCTATCAAATACCTCTGCTATCTGCATACATCCTACAAATTGACTGATTTCTTAACCCCAATATCCTCCATGAGCTCTAGATTAGAATTGCATTGCCGAATAAGACATCATTGGAAATCCCAGCGAATATGCCCTCTATATGCTTCCTCCAAAGTTGTTTTATTGTAAATGGAGCGAAACGGAACTCACTCTTGCGATCGGGGTTTCATTTATACCGTATTACCCTGTAGCCGCCGCTTCCAGAATTCCATTCCAGTGTGGCGCACTCACTAATGGGAGGTAGTGAGATGTGCTTGGCACAGTTGGATAGTATCATAACAACCAACCATGTTCAACCTTCCTGGCGCACAAGTTGGGCTTGGCAGAAAAATTCGAGGGCAGATGGCGCTTTTAGCGAGGTCGGGTTTCCTGAGGTCAACTGCGGCCAGCTGCGGGAAATTTGCCCTGCGCGGGGCACTATTGCCAAGATGTGGGGGATGGCCGTGGATAAACGTGCGGAAACATTTCCATGCTGTAGCCGCCATTCTGGAAAGTCTTGCTCCCAAGGTTTATTTGAACTTCCCCCTTCCTTGTGTGGACTCATGCCCAAACTTCCACTCAGACAAGACCTCACAATTCCTATCTCCAGCCCCCGCCTCGCTCTTGCCCTCACCCCCACCGCCGCTGCAGTAATTGGCAGATTTCTATCAGATACCTTTCATCCCCAACCATGACATCAGCATCCTGGCATCCAATTCCCAGGGACTCGCCGTTCTCATTAGCGAACATACCCTTCGGGATCATATCCACCCCAGCCTCAACCAACCGCCATCCCGCAATTGCGATTGGTGATTATGTTCTTGATCTCTTCACCTTTGCTTCTGGTGGCGGCTTTGCCCAGTTACCTTCCTTCCAGCAACACCTCGACGTCTTCGCCCAGCCCACATTGAATGACTTTGCTGCCCTCGGTAGACCCGTTCATCGCCGCGTACGGGAATATCTACAGGCAATTTTCCAAGAAAACACACCCTACCCCGAGCTGCTGAAAACGAATGAACCTCTCAAGAAATCAGCGCTGATTCTACGAAAAGATGTCACAAACCATCTCCCGTTAAGCATTGGTGACTATACAGACTTCTACGCCGGCCTCAATCATGCCTACAATGTGGGAGTCCTCTTCCGAGGGCCCGATAACGCTCTGCAGCCGAACTACAAACACCTACCAGTTGGCTACCATGGACGAGCATCATCCGTCATTGTCTCGGGACAACCCATCCGGCGGCCCAATGGCCAAATCCTCTCCGATCCAACCATCACGCCCAAGGAGCCCATATTTTCCCCTTGCAAAAAGCTTGACATTGAACTTGAGCTGGCTGTCTTCGTCGCCACGGGCAACCAATTGGGCGAGCCGATCCCCATCGACAAGGCCGAGGATCATCTTTTTGGTGTTGTCCTGATGAATGACTGGTCTGCCAGGGACATCCAGGCTTGGGAATACATTCCTTTGGGCCCTTTCAATGCAAAGAACTTTGCAACAACTATCACACCTTGGGTAGTTCTGATGGATGCTTTGGAGCCCTTTCGTACCCAGGGTTTGGAACCCGGAAAGCCGTTGCTCCCGTATCTTCAGGAGAAGAAGATAGAAAATGTATATGACATCCCACTTGAAGTACATCTTGTTGTTGATGGCAAGGACACCAAGATTGCTGAGTCAAACTCAAAGAACTTGCTCTTCTCATTCTCACAGATGTTGGCTCATCATTCAATTACTGGCTGTAACATGCGAACCGGTGATCTTTTAGGCAGTGGGACAATCTCAGGAGACAGACCTGGGACTCTGGGGAGTTTTTTGGAGAACACCAATGGTGGGAAGAATCCGATCAAGCTTGCAGACGGATCTGAACGAGTTTTCTTGCAGGATGGTGATGAGGTTATTCTTCGTGGTGCATGTGGGAAGGAGGGTAGCTACGTTGGCTTTGGTGACTGCGCTGGCATCATTTTACCAGCTCCTCAGATCTAGATATCAACGGATTATTAATTTCATGTTTAGTTAAATAATGTACACTGTAGTCTTGCCAAAGAAAATGGTTTCTTGAAGATATGAAATATAAGCCTTAAATGCTAAATATATACAGAACCGACCTCGACACAGATAGAAGCAATCAATCCACATGTTGAAAAAGGAAAAAAAAAAAAAAAGTCAATCCACTGCCCTTAACTCTTCTGGTGTGTCTGGCTGCCTCGCCCAATGCGCCCTTCTCACCGCCTCCAAACTTTCCAACATCTCCGCCACCCTGGACACGGTGGGAAATGTCCCCAAATCTACCCCAAACCTCTGCGCTGCCCACACTGCTGGCACCAGGCACACATCTGCCATTGATACAGCATCACCAACTGAATACTGGCCTGCACTGGTCAACATCTGCGCTTCGAGTGCCGCAAATCCAGCTTCCATCAGCTCATGAGCCCAGAGAGTGTTATCTGCGCCCAGGGCTTTGACTCGCTGCTGGATCCGCAGGTTTGTGACAGGCTGGATATCGCAGGCTATGATATTTACAAGGGTGCGGACTTGGGCGCGGGCATGTGGTGAGGTGGATGGGGGGAGGAGGGGGGTTGTATTTGTATCTGTATTGATGGATATCTCTTCAAGATATTCAAGCGCAGCAATGGATTGGCCGATTGTGATGGAGGTCATTAGGTTGTCAGTCATGCTACTGAAGGTGGTTGGGTTGGGATTAGAGCTTGAGGTGATGATGAGAATTGGAACCGTAGCGGAAGGGTTCAGCGCGCGGTGGGCTGGTGAAAGTTGTTCACCCTTCAGCAGGTTTACAAACGTGGTTGTGTAGGGGATTTGTTTGAGGTTCAGGGCGATACGGAGGCGGGCGGAGCAGGAGGAGCGGTAGTAGGAATATAGATGGAATTGGGGGTTTTTTCTCGGATTTTCGGAGGCCATTAGGAAAAGCCGTATCGGTATAGTTTACAGTAGGCGGTGATATTGCTATGGTGATGTGGCCTTCCTTGGATGGAAATTATATCGTCTTGGATTAGGATTTCTTTTTTTGGCTGGCAATGATACTAACTACAATAATTTAACCGCTAGTAAGTGAACACCAACTTCAATGTAGGGTTGATTACCCCACCCACCCCACCAAATGGCACTACTTCGTTATTCACAGGAATAATTTATACATAACTTCTACGTCCAACCTAACTACCAGTAGTACAGTACAGTACACTGGAATACAAACCGAAGCAAGAGGAACCCCACAATCAAAGAATCTCCCTATCTCTTCTCCAAGCAGATACAGGTTTAGATTTGAGGCTAGATTTGAGGTTAGCTGTGCGGTCTCTGTTCTTTTAGCTCTTTTGGTACTTCTCCTGTGCAACCTTCTATCCAAGACAAATTGAATCTGTTCTCTGCCTGCCTTCTACTCCTCAAGCAGCAAGAGATTGTCATACTATAGCGATTATTTGGGAGTAGGAGGCAGACTGTCATTATCAGCATCAGCCAGGCATATACTGTGCTAACCACCCAGGCCAAAAAGACCATAAGTCACCCGGCTTCCTGCCAGCCGCTCAAAGGAGTGCTCTCCAGCAGGGGTGTACCGTTCCGCTTGGCTGCCTCGCTGCCTCACTACCATGTTGGGAGGGGGTTATGTAGGTGATTTGTTCTCACTGCTGGGGGTGTTGGGAATATCCATGCATGACGACACGTGTTTAATCACGTGACTTTTACAATTTCCCAAGGTCGGCAGGGAAGAAACTATTCGAAGTGATGTCTGAGCTGTATTAGCATGTAGGCAGCTGTGGCATATATGTGTGCGTTGTGCTAGTACGTAATAGAAAGCCTAGAGCCAACAGAAACTGCAAGGTTGGTACACTGAACTGTTGACTGACAAGATATCCTTGGGAATAGATTTATGTTTGGAAATAGGTAGATGATTAGGTTTCGGAGGACTCGCTGTATTTCACTCACTACACCATTGGCCTTTTTTTATTATGCTGCGGTATAAAAATTCGTGGGTTGGAGATAAAGCCTCTCGTAATCATCTTATGTAGATTGTTTGCTAATCACACTTAGTGTGAATGATATTTATTTAGCAACAAACTGATCAGAAAGTCAGCTCACGACTTTCTACAGAGATTCACTTCCTCAGCTGAGAATTTCAACAAATCTTAGATCAAGGAGGGGAAAAAAAAGCCTAATCAGGCCACAACTTACTTAAACTAACCTGCCTTTCTTGTCTTTCCAGCCACAATCAGTTCTTTGATATCCTCCTCCTGTAATCCCAGCAGGTACAAAATATCCTTGAGTGACGTGCCATTAAGCCTAGTTGGTGCTTCCAGCTGTACCTTGGCCTTCGCCCTCCATGCCACACCCAACCCAGCTTCTTTCAGCATGAGGAGATCGTTCGCACCATCACCAACCACCAGCGTTTGCATCATGGAAATGCCATTGTCAGCAGCAAGGGTGTGCAGTATATGTCGTTTTCGTGCAGCGTCAATGATTGGATACCCTGGAATAAGGTTACCAGTCAGGGATTGAGTGATATTGTCGATTTCGAGCTGTATGACAAGAGGTTCAATTCGTCAGAATATAAAGCGCACGCATGGTCAATTGAAATGGCAGGATTGATTCCTACATGATTGGCAAAGGCATAGTCCAGCCCTAATTCACCGGCCAACCAATCTGCAAGGGGTTGAAAGCCGCCGCTCACAACGGCCATCTTGTATCCTAGGGTTTTTAGGGCACTGCAAAGCTCGCGGGCACCAGGTGAGATAGTAATAGTGGACTTCAGCCTTTCAAAAACATCTGCAGGTACACCCTTTAGGAGGCCCACACGAGCTTTTAAGGAAGCTGGGAAGTCAAGCTCACCATTCATTGCAAGCATAGTTAATTCCTGTGATTAACGTAGACCCAGTATAAGCATTGATCTTAATCTTGTCTATGGAATTATGAGAATTGAAGCGGGACGCACTGAAACTTCTTTCTCCAAACCAATAAACCTGGCAATCTCATCAATGACCTCCTCTTGAATGAGAGTACTATCCATATCAAAAACAGCTAACCGCTTATGTCTGCGAAACACACTTTCTTTCTGCAAGACGACTTCCACATTCCATTCCTGCTCAAATTTCCATATATTCTCATGTTTCCGCATATCTTCAAAGGATAGATACTCTGGGTTCGGAGGAGGACCCATTGTCACTTCTACCACTCTTGGCTGATTCTCTTCATCCAAGCAGCGATGAGAGCTGCTCATCTGCTGATAAGGAGTGGATAGCTTCTCCATTATCTGCAGAAAACTTGTGAGACATAACTCTGAGACATATGAGCCATAGAGACAATCTAATGTTTCTGATGCAAAAGCTGGAGATTCTTGAGAACCCTGTTCAAGATCTGATGTCAGAACCGAACCAGGTACATGAGTCAGAATGAGAAGCTGATTGGACAGTTTTAACCGCGGAGCTAATGAATTGGATTGAATATGACCAAAAAAATGAACCACGCACCTTGTAGAAAATTGTAGCAACTGATTTGGGAGTGATTGGAGGGGGGATAGTGCTGAGGTACCCTCTGAAGATGCTGTACACAATTCCACTGTCCTTGACGGAGACCTGCGCACTGGGTGGGTGACCAGTCGGTGATATTGAGTGGACAACCGGTTCGTGAGGGCTAGGAGATGGGTTTGTGGGCTTGTATGAGGAGGCTTTGCAATGATAATGATCTTGGATAAATGATCCATCTGAGAGCGACCTGTGGCATAAAATAGGATGACCTCTACGGACGGAGAGTGTGTTAGCCATGCTAGATACCAGTAAAATAGTGAGTTTGGCAGGGAAATCTGCCACCAACAACTTCAGCACCGTGATCAAGTTGTTGATCAAATTCAAGAAAGCCGTGCATGAGATTTTTGCCAAGCATTTTAAATGATGACAAATATAAACTTGGGGCTAGTCAACTAGTTAGTTAACTACGTATGATTGGAGTGAGTTTCCAAAGAGCCGATCTAAATTTCAAACCTTGCTGAACGTCTGCCGCCCATCTAAAAACACCCAAAGCACACCATCTTAAGATAGATTACTCCTCATCACTTCAGTTAGAGGCTATAAATTAGAATTGGATTAGTATTAGAGTAAGTTGAAGGGTTGGAGTGTGAGAGACATGATTTAAGCCATCATATTGTGAGTGCAAAGGTAGTTAACTAATTCAAATGTGTATTACTAATGGTTCATCGCGTCTTTCAGATGTGTGTTCTGCAGTGTAAGAGGGGTTGAGCCTGACTGATTATTATCATCTATCTAATGGATCATATACAAACATGTTCGGTCACTGGGGCAAAAGAGCTCTCACACCAGCGCCATGCTGGTAGTAGAGGAGACGAACCAATCTAAACCCCCCAACAATAAATGTGTGCGTGGGTCACGTGGGATAGGGCTTGTGTTCCTAGAGCGTGGGCACCTAGGTAGGACCTCCAAAACTCCGCCGACCCTCGCTTTTTTGCCAAGTTCAATTTGAGGCCCGTGCACGCACCCTTCGGAAGTCCTCGTGAAGAGCACCGTCACGTTCGTCAAAAATTTTCCAGCGATAACCATTCAAATCACTCTTAAAAGAATTGTAGATGGGATAAATTGCGATAGTTACCTATATCCATCCGCGCCAGAATATCTTCACTGATAATCCTTTCGAATCAAATTATCGCCTTCTCGTCCAAGATTTCTTGACATCGATGTTGCTGAAATTGGTCGCTAGATAGACCTAACAATGTCCACACTTTCAAAAAAACGCTGCGGTAATCCCATTCCACTGATGACTCTGTTGAAGAAAATGGACGGCATCACTGATCCTTGCCCAGGTGTCCTAGGAGCCACCGGTGCAGTTGGGACTCGGTTCATCCTGCTGCTGGAGAAAAATCCCTTACTCGAACTGGTAGCTGTAGGTGCCTCAGAGAGGTCAGTGGGTAAAAAGTACTGCAATGCTGTGCGCTGGAAGCAATCATCCCCAATTCCAGCTCAAGTTGCAGACTTCACCATCCGACCTTGCACCCCATCTGAATTCCCAGACTGTGACGTCATATTCTCCGGCTTAGACCCTGATGTTGCTGGGGATATTGAGATGGCATTTCTCAAGGCAGACTTTGCAGTCTTTTCCAATGCAAAGAATCATCGGCTAGATCCTATGGTACCACTTGTGATGCCCTTAGTCAATATGGGGCATGTCGACGTGATTCCAGCCCAGAGGAAAAGTTATGGCCTTAAAAAGGGAATGATTGTTTGCAATTCAAATTGCGCGGTTGTGGGATTGGTAATTCCAGCCAAAGTGCTTATTCAGAAATTCGGCCCTATTGAGTCTGTGAGCATGGTAACCATGCAGGCTGTGTCAGGAGCAGGCTATCCTGGTGTCAGCAGTAAGTGCAAATGTCAATGTAGTACAATACTATGTTCTTTGCATATCATGAGTAACTGATTGTGTCAGGTATGGACATCTTCGATAACATCGTTCCCCACATCCCTGGTGAGGAGGGCAAGATCTCCTCAGAAGCGCGAAAGATTCTAGGCAGGTTGAACTCGGATCTGGCAGGGTTCAGTGATCAGCATCCCCTTCGAATTTCGGTTGCATGTAATCGAGTCCCTGTCCTTGATGGCCATACCGTGTGCGCATCATTGCGTTTCTTAAATCGACCTGCACCAACGGTAGATCAGGTCCGTGATGCATTCATTGAGTACACATCAGAGGTTCAATTGCTAGGGTGCCCATCTGCTCCAAAGCGTGCCATTCATGTTTTAGATGAAGTGGATAGGCCACAACCTCGTCTTGACAGAGACGCTGGGGGAGGCTACACATGCAGCATAGGCAGAATCAGAGCAGATGAGAGTGGGGTCTTCGACATTCAGTTTGTTGCACTCAGTCATAACACAGTCTTGGGGGCATCAGGTAGTAGCATTTTGAATGTTAGTTTTTGCATCACCTTCTAATTCCATCATTGGTTGTCAAATATGTGCTGACAATTGTGTGCTGAATGTAGGCTGAAAGTGTCATTCTGAAAGGCTATATATAGCCTCACCTCTGAGTGCTACACTGTGAACAGTTCATTTATTTATGATGACTGTGCTACATCTCGTTCCTTTGTGAGCTGAGCACAGTGTATAATATGTTCTATGAACCACATATTTTAAACAACTAGAAGATTCAATATATAAAAGAGTGCTAAGGGTTTCCGGAGTATTATTCTTGCAACAGCCACAGTCTTATTTTCTTGAGACTGAATAAATATGTCAAGTGAAATTTGTTAAAGCTTTTTTTCTTGTTCTGAAGCTCTTACTAGCCTTTGTCACTTCTAATAATCGATATCATATATTCTATAACTTGAGGCAACTCCGGTTCTATACTAGTATCATACAAACAAGAATATCACGTAATGTTTTCCTGATAGTTAGCGAAATAGGGGTTATTTCATTTTCCTAGTGAAAATTAATATTTACAACCACTGGCTTTTACGGAGGAATGTTGTAATGACATGCACAATATGTATGCAGGGTTTGGCTAACTAGCCCCAGGAATTCTACGTAGAACTCGTTCGTGGTTTGCGCCGTTGATTACCTAACCAGACTGACACCTTGCACATCTGAACAGACTAGAATCTGTATCTGCCATCCAGTTGTTATCGAACTGTATGCTAGCAAACTGTTTATCATGAAGCCACCGACTGCCCCTTCAATTTTCAAATGGGCCGCTCTCCCATGGCTAAGGCCTGTATATACCACACCAGCCATCCGACTTGGCAACGGCTGCAGACCATTGAGCTCGCGGGCACTCGGCCAACTCACCATCCCCGCAGAAGCCTCCTCTCGCAGTCGTGTGCCATTTCACTCTTCAGCTAATTATTTCCTCCATCACACATTCTTAAGTCGGAATCTTGCTTCCTCATCTACGGCAGTTTTGACATTGAAAAAAACCCAGCTCCATGACCTCCATATTGCTCACAAGGCACGGATGTCACCCTTTGCAGGATTCTCCATGCCGCTGGTGTATAGTGATTTGAGTCATACTGAAAGCCACAACTGGACAAGAAACAAGGCTAGCTTGTTCGATGTGAGCCATATGTATGTATTACTGCCAGAATTAATGTAGAATGTTTCTCTTTCTTTAATGATCACTCAGACTGACAATTCCACCTTTAAAGGGTTCAACACCATATCTCCGGCCCTGGGGCTTTAGACCTTCTCCTGAAAGTTACACCATCCTCTCTGAACCTGCTACAAATCAATCGCTCCACGCTATCATGCTTCCTTGATGAGGAAACTGGAGGTATAATTGATGACACAGTCATCACCCGCCTGGGCCCTGAATCATTCTATTTCGTTACAAACGCTGGTCGCCGCAAGGAAGACCTGGATTTTCTTCACAAGGAAATTGAGAACTTCAGATGGAGGCATGGCTCTTCCGCACACAAATCCATCATCAGCTGGTCCGTCCTTGATAACCATGCTCTAGTCGCACTTCAAGGCCCCCTGAGCGCCTCCATTCTCCAGTCACTCATCACAACTGATGAAGCAGGAACCAACTCAGATCTCAGCACTCTTCACTTTTGTCAATGCCGCTTCCTCCACCTCAATTTCCCAGATGGAACGCACACACCATCCCACCTCCTCATTTCCCGTACAGGCTACACAGGAGAAGATGGCTTTGAGATATCTATCCCCACAGATATAGACCCACAGCTCCCCATGAAAGTCTCTCAACTTCTGCTCTCCAATCCGAGTGTCCGCCTCGCCGGCCTTGCTGCTCGTGACTCCCTTCGCCTTGAGGCTGGCATGTGCTTATATGGTCACGACATAACTGTTGCGCAAACCCCTCCCACTGCTTCCCTCAGCTGGCTCATTGGCAAGGACAGACGTGACCCATCGTCCCCTTCCTCAGCCTTCAATGGCGCTTCAGTGATTTTACCACAACTCACGTCGCCCACGAAGACACTTACAGAGCGACGTATTGGGCTGGTCATTGAGACAGGGCCACCAGCACGTAAAGATGCACCTATTATCGACATGGCAGATGGCTCAACACAGATTGGTATGGTGACATCTGGTTTGCCAAGCCCAACACTTGGTGGGGTAAATGTTGCAATGGGATATGTGAAGCAGGGGTTCCATAAGAAGGGAACTGAGGTTGGTGTTCTTGTTAGGAAAAAGGTACACAAGGCGACTGTTGTTTCAACACCATTTGTACCGACTAAGTTCTATAAAGGGTAATTTCCTTCTGAAAAGGCTAGTAATATAAGGGGGTGTGGATGGCGTAGTGGTAACCGCCGTTCATGAAATGCTTTCTCAAGTAGGTACTTGGTGTTGGGACCACCACTGCTGAGACAAAAAGGTAGCGGGCTCGAATCCCACCCTCTTCAAAAGGATATTATCACATCTTGGTGGACATTGGGTGTACTCTTTCTTATCTCATTTCCATTGATAACTGCCACTTAGGAGTGGAGCAATGTTCAACACTTTGTATATAGTCTAGATGGATTCAGTAAAGTGTGAGAATCTAAGGTGCTGTAATTCTTACGCTGGTGTACCCCAGTTTTTCCGTGTTTCTTAATTAGACGGAGCGAAGCGAAGTCTCTAAGAATCATATGAATCTCTTCAAAAGTTGCTTCATTTTATGGCTGAAATGATTAAATGTGGATTGAAATTCAATGGCATTATTGGTGCAGAGCAGATTTCAGAATCTCCACCTTTATGCAGTGGAGACTTGACTTTTTAACACCAGTCTGCAATTGGCTCTGATGCCTTCTATGCTTACTCTTGAATTATCTCCCCTACCTACCTACCTACCTACCTACCTACTCGATATCCGATCGATTGCTAATGGAATAGAGAATGCAAGTTACCTACCTGTCTATCTGATTGATATTGATTGATTGTTAATAGAATAGCGAATGCCAGCTAGCTCCCTTTCTATCTACCTACCCACCTCCCTACCTGTCTGCCTGCCTGCTAGATATTCAGTCAATTGCTTATGAAATAGATATTCAATCAATAGAGAATCCTAGCTATCTATCTACCTTTCTACCTACCTACCTGTCTGATCAATATCCAATCAATCTCTATGAGCATAAACATCACCATCTAGCTACCCACCTACCAATCAATGCTAGCTTGCTATCTGACTATCTATCTACCTGTCTGCCTATCTGCCTGCCTATCTACCTACCTGCTTGAATGAATGATATCCACTGATGATATATGCCGATAATATATCAATGATATAGCGATGATGATATATGTTGATATAGATATAGCGGATATAGCCATGATAGCTAGCGATGATATAGCGATGATATCTACGATGATATCTAGCAATGATGGCTAGCAATGATAGCTAGTGATGATATTAATATGACTTCGCACTTTTGCTCCATCCTGCCCAGCTGCATGTTTCATGAAGCTTCTGCTATACAGCGTTGTGCCTGAGCTGTCCATCTCTTCAAAGCAATCAAAGATGCATTTCATCCCCTGGAACTTAGAGGTTTGTTTGCCCACCCTCTTAAGGGGGGGGTGCTGGGGGCAGGCTGCCCCTAGTACAGTGAAGATTTTAACTTTGATAGTAGTCCATATTCTTACCCCTGAATTATCTACACCTTTGTTGGTCAACAAAATTCCACTGGGCTTTTTGTTTTGATTTGGATGTCACAAACATTGGAGAATTTTTGTCTCTGTACTTAAACATTTTGATGATAACTTAATTAGAGTAACTAACTTATTAGTAATCTTATTCAACAATCCTCATTCACAGCTCAATCCAACAAATGCATTCCACATGACTTTCCCCTCAAAACAATCATTTGTGATTTCAGGCCCTGTTGTATCAGCTATTTGTACCCCATCTCTCATTATTTTTATATTCACAGGCCCTGTATTCCCACCGAATGGAACATTCATATGATTGATTCCTGCAAATGATGCTTGTAGGCTTGTGGTACGTGATTGTCCAATTTTAACAGCAATCTCACTAGGTGCTGAAACAAAAGCTGTGATAAACACTTTATCCTCTGACACCACCGCTGGATCTAAAGGTTGCTGGCCGAATGCAGGATTGTTACCTGTTGTCCCATCAGCACTCCCAGACTTTCCAGGGTTTCTCCTATACCAATAGGAAAATGTATCACTAAGGCTGGGATGGTCGACGAGAGGGTTGCTTGCATTGTTGGACTTGAATAAATCAATATAGGCTGGAAGAAGGTGTCGCCAGCCATCATGAGGGTTTTCAAGAACATACCACTCAGCGCCCGGAGGAATACCAGGTTGACGAATTGGGCCAATGTAATTTGATTCACCGTAGTCATTCCAGCTGATGATCTATACACAGACAGTTAAATTGATGAAATATAATACGTCAAATGTAGTGAAATAACATACCTCAGCCATTGCTGGCTGCAACGCAATTACCTCCATCCAACGCTCATGCCACAGATCATCCCCACGCCACAGCCAATTTTTCCCCCATTGTGCAAGGTTTGTATAAAACCATGGTGAAACAGGCATCATGTATGGCTTCTGGCCAAGCATTGACATATACTTATTGTCATTATCAGAAGATTTTGATTGTGCACCCACCGGCCATGCATCCCAACTGAAAAATCCATCAATGACATTCATCACCCCCGGTAAGCCTTCCAGCCCTAAACTAGACCAATCCGGGACCAAAAAACACCCAGTAGCTGATTTAATTGCATACCAGTCATTGATATTGTCGGTCCCTTCAAATGTGGATACCAAAGGCTGGTTGTGGTATTTAAATTGTGATCTGTGACCACTATATTTGTTGATCGTTTGTATGACTACATCCATTGGCCATGGGCCGCCGGAAAGATAGTCAAATGATATAAACAAGCCAAAATCTCCAACAGCTGCTGCGGCTTCATATGCGCGGAAAAGCACCGCATCCGTGTAGCTATCTTGTCTTCCAATATTGAGTGCAAATGCATCAATATTAGCTTGCTTAGCTAATTTAATATCAGCCATCCAATCCTCTTGTGTCATAGCAGCAGCACATCCAACCTGGTGAATATTAGCAAAATGAACTCCCTCAAAGATGTTAACATGAAATTTGAGATGGTTGTGAAAACTCACCATAAAATGTGCAAACACATATTTCGGCTCCTGAGCCACAACAGAGACAACTATAAGTAGTAGAAGAAGCCCGATTTTTAAATGCATTTTGGCAAAGTTATTCGGTTTTTAAACTGATACATTATAAGTGTAAAATAAACCAATAATTCCTTTATAAAAGAATAAAACATCACAAATTAAAACAAGTGTAAACTTTTTGCAATTGATTCTGGGGATTTTCTTGTGAGGAAATTTTAGATTCAAATCAAAAAAGAAATATATATATATAATGGGGGATAAAATGTAAGTAATAAACAAAGTGCAATATATAAAGAGTTTACCTGTGTAACGAAAAAAATAAAAAAAATTGACCTTTCAAAACATTACAGTTAAAAAAAAATAAAATGAATATTTCAGGGTTAAAAGAATTGTGAATAATCAAAGAGAGAACTCAGTAATAAAGATAAAATATATCGAAAACCGATATTTTTGTAAACAGTAAGTAAACTTAAAGCTATTGATCAGTGTGATCAGTAGAACTGGGAAAACTGGTATAGATAATATATTCAACTTAGAAAACTAATTTATTGTAGAATTGTAATGAACTTTATAAATATTTCCATTTATCAGTAAAAATATAAAACGAAATAGAAAAAGCAGGTTTATAATCTTAATATCAACAGTTCTTTGTACTTCAGCCGTGGTAGAGTTTCGGCTATTGATAGCTATATCAACTGTAAAAGGCTGGGGATTTCATAGCCACGATTGTAGATCAGAAAAATAGCCACTTCAAAGATTCAAGGTAATATATAACGAGGATTGAAACTTAAAAATTTATCAAAGTTAAACGAGGAACCAAGTTTAACCTTTTAAATTTTATCAAAGTCAGGTTAGTTGAAAATTTAAATATAATTCAAAATCAAGTAAGAGAGCCGCTTTGTAAAATAATAGATGTAGAATGCTATCCTTGTGCTGCCGCCAACTAACTAGTATTACAAGAATGAATTCAATTTATTCAATTCTCTTACCGTGAGAGCAATTTACATATCAAATGAAGCACATCGCGATAGAAGGTTTTCACAATTGATAACTTTTTAAGCTTGTAAATTATCTTTTGTATACTTGATCAAAATATTATAATTCATGAAAAGCTTTTAAAGTGTGGCTGGATGTTGAATATTGCTTTTTCTAGCTATGAGATTTCGAACCATGGGATCAAGAAAGATAGAGTTCAAATTTTTAAGGGGGTTGGAATATTTGTTGGCAATTTCAGCCTCGGCTCACTCAATTCGGGTAGGAGCAAACCGGGGATTAGCGAATTCATCTGGGGGAGACTTTACGCAGGGCCGCAGGCCTTACCAGCCCCGTTGGCTTAACGATTTGATTAGTTGTTTTAAAACTTGAAGGATTAAAAATGTGAATCGATCAATCTCATTATTATCCTTCTTTGTTGCTAGTTAGATCAATAATTCTTCTAAAGGATAAGAGAATGTGATGGGTTAACATCTGTGAGTAGTTGACTTAGACAACCAACCCTCCATCACCCACTGATGTGCCTACATGCTCATATGAAAATCCTTCCTTTTCTTGTGATTCCATCTCAGTGATCTCACAATGTATTCTATAACATTCCTCTGCTCTGTGCTTCACAATGATGTAATTCTTGACATTCTCTCCTTCTGATTCTCTTCTCTAAAAGAATCACTTTGTACTGTACAACCCCTTCTGATTTGTTTTTCATTTTCTAACCCTAATGATGGAGGTGGAAGGTTGGTTCCGATAACTGGTTGCCCAGACGGCCACTCCACCGCACGTGATGAAATTTATATGGTTCTCCAGCTCCAACCACAACAATAACAAGATCAACCATCCGAGAGGTTCATTGCAACTATGAGGCCACTAGGGCAAAAGAGCCCGATCACCACCAGCCCCTGGTCCCTGGTGCGAAAGAGGGGACGAATCATCCAATCTAATCCCTCCAACAACCCCCTCAGACCCACTCTACAATCCGAGCTGGGCGAAGTTCCACTACCCTACTGCCATTGGTCATTGGTGGCCTGGGGTCCTCCAGGCTACCTAACCACCAATCTCCTCCATCATGGTTAACAGAGTGTGCATTAGCAGGGGATATTACTCTGATTCAAACCTGTGATAGATAGCATGTTGGCATACCGTATAGCAGTTGCTCTTACACGGGCCTCATGACCTGTTAGAACACTGTGGCAAAAGAGCTCGATCACCACCAGCGCCATGGTGGTATAGAGGGACCGAATCGTCCTGCAAGCCTACCGCTAGCCCCTAGATTGATAATACCAACCAACCAAGTTCAACTTCTCTTACAACGCACATATTGCCAACTTGCCTGAACTGTTGCTTGATGATGTAAGGCTGACTCAGGATTTCAAAGTTGCACCACCCAAAAAAACAATCCTGACTTCGTCCACAGATCCTTCAGAGATGAAACTTCAGACATAGTCGTTGCAAATTGCTTTTCTGAAGTACCAGACCAAATCATCTAATGCCTTGGCCTTCCATTGCAACTGTGTCTTAGCGCCGCTTAAACTATTCTGACAAACCAAATCATGAAATTGCTTCTGTAGCTCACACACTAGTTACCAATCCTTTCAAATCCACAACCCACAATGAAGTGAAGACGTAGTGAACGCAAAGTGGGTGCATTGTTAATGTCCTCCCCACTCAGTTCTGATCACTTCAATGTCGCTTCTTCCCAACCTGGAAAGTCAGATGAAGAGACACTACCGTTGAACCCATCGCTGGCATCGTGCCTCATACGAGTTGACACCACACACTCACCAATCGAATCGTGCGACTCTGTTCTTGAACCTGATGTTACCACCGCCTCTCCAGTCAGGCATTCCCCGGGCCCCTCAAACGAATGCATTGCCGATAAGGGATTGACATCGACTGGAGCAAATAAGCCAATCCTCCTGAGTTCGCTCCCCAGTCTAAATTTCTGGGGTATATCGTTCGTTGGCTCCTCCGAACTCATCCCAGACTGGAACACATCATACTCTTCCTTCCTGAACATTGACCACATTTACGAAGTCCAGGAACGGCTCGTTAATGACCAGCGAGAAGGAGTCCGTAGCCTGGACGGACCATCACAATCCACTCGAACTCCGGAAGCGGCTTCGTCTACTCCTCCACATCTAGCAGCAGTGGGGGTTGCTACATTTCCTGTCCAGGAGCAACTTCCGACACCCCATTAGCTTTCTATCCCAGTCCCGATGCCGACAATGCCTCCATCTCAGTCTCGTGCTGCAAAACGGAAATCGGATTCACAGCACCTCCATGAAGGAAGAATGGGTCTCCCAAAACTTACCACTAATAATTCAGAACACAGCGGTATCGAATCCGCTCATTATCTTGCAGCGGATAGGGATCTGCAACCGATTGCTATGTCCTCGGACTCGGAGCCACGTTCTAGAAAAACAGTCAACTGTGAAATGGATAACGGCAACATGAGACAAAATAGTAGAGCGGATTCTCCCAACCAGAACTCAAATCTCTCCACCTCCTCCCCCGGAGTTTCGAGGCAGCCAGATTCTTCAGAGAAGGGGAAAACCTGCGTTCTCCCCTCTGAAAAGGTATTTCCCATTCAGATAGGCTCCGAGTTATTTAGATTGTCTGGCTCGTCGATATCCTCTGATGGTTAGTCCAGCAACTCATGTCCAAACCCGTAGTCAGAACTTATGGACTAAAAGTCTTAGAGCACCCTCATATTTTTCACATTTTTTTGAGGAGCAGTTGCGTCACAATGAAAATGGTGCGCCAGTGCGAACTCTATACATTGATCGCGACCCCGCCAATTTTCGAGATATATTGAGACATCTTCAAGGTATTTGGGTTCTGCTACCGCGAGTTCTTCTTCGTATTATAGAAACATTGATTTGCATGTATTTTACATGCCATGACTGACAATTGCCCCTCAAAACTCAAGGCTACTATGTGCGACCGCAAGATGGAACCCACCTTGCTAGGCTGATTGCGGATGCGCAATTTTACAGTCGTAAGTTACGTTACCAGTTCACAACATTTTTATCCAGGCGTCTTCCCCCTAACCTTCATGATTTTTAGTGCCGCGTTTGATCTCTCAACTAGTCGAGTCAGAGATATTCATACAAATCGGAGATCGACATTTCCAAATTCCCCGTGATCTCTTCTCTAGTCCTGGGGATTATCCGAACTTCTTCTCACTCGCTTTTGCTATATTTTTTACCACTCCCAAGGAAACCTTCGATCGTCCAAGCCTCCTGCGTCCACCAGCTGTTACTCCGCCTGTGGTGATCAACCGCTCAGCCGAAGTGTTTGCAGAGCTCCTCCATATGCTTAAAGGATATCCTCTCCATGTACGGAACGAAGAACACCGGGCTGCCCTCCTGCGTGACTGCCGCTATTTCCACTTTCGGGGGCTTGAGCAAAAGCTTGTTCCCCATACGATCAGTTACAACTCATTGCGGCGAAAGTCAGAAATCGTGATTCGATTGCAAGATATCCGCCAGTCGGGGGTTCGGTTTGTAAACGACGTCCCAGCCTCGGATAGAACCACTTCTGGAGGTTGGGTCCATTATTCTCGCCCTTTTGTCGACGACACATCTCATGAGCTAATAGTCGAGATCGGGGATGAAAACACATTAATTAATCTGAATTCCATGAGGGCTAATTTCTCCGGCGTGGCGAAAGCGAGGATATCAAGCCTCTTCCAGGTCATAGCCAATAAAATGAATCTCCCTACGATTGCCCCTCTCGGATTACTGATGAGGTCGGGCGGATTTAGCAAACAGCCACCTAGTCCGGGCAACACTCCACTGAGCGACGACCGAGTCAAGATCCGAATAGACTGTGACGCTGATATCGTCCTTGATGGAGAACCGTACAGTGCTGATGGGAGTGGATTCAAAGGAACTGCGTGTACCACGCCAGCTGACACGGGTTTCGTTCCCAGTACCCCTGGTTCCAACACTTGCTGCAGCAATCAACACGTCCATGTGACCACATCATCAGACACAAATGTTGACATCTCCAGCGCAAAAGGAAGCGAAAACGCAACACGATCATTGTCCGTTACAGAATCATTTTCTCGCTGCGACCCCGCTTCTCCTTTGTCATTCAGCAAACCAGACGCATCGCGATTGCAAGATAGCCAAGGAGCAGCTAAACGCAATGGGCTGGATATTATAAATGTCCGTGGAGAATTGGTAGTGCAAAAGGGGCAGTGGAAAATTCAAGTGCAAGCAGCTGACACCCAGGAAAGTGCATGTGGAAAAATGGAGATCATGTTTGTTGCAGTCAAGCTTCATGTTTTCAGCGGACCCCGAGCACGTAATGCAAGTCGGGTGTTTTTAAGCTAGTCGAATATACCTGCAGTGACAGTTATCAATAGAAATGAGATAAGAAAAAGTACCCTCAATATCCCTCACACTATGATAATGTTCTTTTGTAGAGGATGGGATTCAAACCCACTACCTTCTTGTCTCAGCAGTGATAGTCCCAACACCAAGTGCTTACTCAAGAAACCATTTCATGAACAGCGCCTACCACTACGCCACCCACCAAACCCCTCCCTGCCCCTCCTCCTTCACCCGCCGGCTGTGCTTGGCAGGTATTAACCTATCACACAAGAATTAGGAATATCATCCGAGACTGATACTAGAATTCTCAAAGTGATTTGAGATCAAACTAAGACAAAAATCATGAATACGGTCAGCTTCTCAGGTTTCGAAACGCAACAAACTTCGTTCTGATTTCATACATGGTCACATAGTCAGCTATGGCTCACACCAAATAAAAAGCGTGATTTATACATTACAATTTAGTGTACGCTTCGGGAATGACTGAGCTGTTGGAGAAATGTGATGACATGTTCTGCTGGATAACCCAAAAAAACAGGCCCCTGAAAAACCATCTTAGACTGAATGGGAGAGGTTGGTGTTTGCGGCTGATCAATACGGTTGAGAGGAGAAGCTAAATTGTCAAGAGTATGGCATCTATAATTCTCCTCTGCTTGTATATCCGTAGCAGCAGAGCCAGGAACATTTATGAGCGGTCGGTGGTCCTTACCCGCGACGGCGTAGAATGGACACCGGCTCGTAGCTAGCAATGGTCTCAGTTTCTGCAGCCATGAGGCTGAGACGGATGAATGCTCCGGGTTAGCCCGGTTATAATCTGCCAACTGCGTACTTCCAGTAACGCCATTCTGACAAATTATTGCAGCAGATGAATCTCTGGGCTGCTGGGCAACGGTTTGAGAGATTGGAACATGGATTCCCCAAGGTCTACTGGCCGACTCGCCTAATCGCACGTCCCGCAGCGATCTATCAAAACAATCATCCCCCTGTTCCTCATCCTCCTTCTCCTTCAGCCGCTCACCATGTTCTCCTCTCTGGAAAAGTGGCATGGCCTCTATCTCTGTGGATTCAGCATTGACATCCTTCGCCCATTTCTCTATCCTTCCAATCGAAACGGACGGTGCAGCATTTGGTCTACCCGGTTCTTGGGTTGAGGGGAGATAAGGTTGATGGTAAAGACTAAGTCCCTTGATCATATTTACCATGTCACCATATTTCTCGTCGAGTTGGCGGATGCTCTTAGCGTCTCTCTGATATCGTTGAATACAGATGGTATGACTGCGAGGGATTCTATGTTTGTTTTTTTGGAAATACTTAGCCACTTCCTCCGGAGAGTGGTCATCTAGATACCTGATCGGACACCTGGGAGCAGCGTCCTGTATCAAGGGAGAGGGTGTATCCTGGAGAGCTTCAGCTTTGATAGGGTCAAGGTCTTGTGAGCGAAGATCTGAGCTCGGGTTCATGAAATTAGATGCAGTCAATGCCTTTTGGAATTGCAAACAGACAGTGAAGGTTACCTTGCACATTTTCAGCAGTGGAATCGTGTTCGAGGGGACAGCTGGCTTTCGCGTGGACCATAGGAGGGTAAGTATTGTTATTTTGATTGTACTCATTTTGAGTAACAAGTTTGTCGGCCAGGATTCTGTAGGCTTCAAGTCCCTTGGCAATAACTTCCAACTCTGAAGATGTGATGTAGCCAGCCTGTTGCCCATCATAAATCCATCTTGTATGGTCCGCAGATGCATCGTAGTTGGATGGTTGAAAGGGCATAGGCGATATCATTTCAGCTATTTCTGCTTTTGAAGCAGAGCAACTAGTTAGTTGGCTGGCAAGGTTCAAGTACTATTTTATCATGACATTAGCCCCAAGGAACCGTGGTAGTCGGTGTAATAAAGTAGAGATCAAGTATATGCGAACATCAGATAATACATGCAGATGGTTCAGTCACTGCCGCAAAGATGTGGCTTCTGATCTAGAGCTAATTGAAGTTCTCTCATCATGTAACGCAAGAAACAAACAGAGGGAATGAAGAACAAAATAGAAAAGGAGAGACAGATACCTCATCATAAGCAAATTGAAGTCTATTTGATAACTCTCTTTCTTGCCATACTAGCTTCTGAATTAGTTCAATAAGGGTATCAAAGCCTTCAGCCAGGGCTATCACCGCTTTGTTTTGCTCGTCCTGCGTCGTAGTTTGAGAGAGAGACATTTGATGAATCCGAGGAATTAAGGTTATTGACAGTAGTGCATTCAGTAGAGAGCGAACTAAGTCCTGTTGATCGAGGATGTTATTATTGTCCCCTGCAAAGAAGAGCAACGTTGCCCAGAATTTAAAGGAGAAAAGAGAAGAAGCTGAGCGTGGTTCAAATTTTCGGCTGGAAAAACCTTCGGTGGGGGAGGCTCTGACACTAGTGACAAATACAGACTAACGGATATCGCAACTTCAATCGAGATTAACGTTTGCTGCCATTTTGTAGCCGAGCGCAAGTAAACAGATTTCACCAAGCAGACATACCACAACAACTACCCACGCAAGGCCCGGCAATGGCTGGCCCCAATCCAAGTCTGATCCCCCCCCATAGACTTCTCCTATCGGCTTTCGTCAATTACTGACAGTGTTCTCGCAGATTTGACACTTGATCCGGCCCTTCAGAAATACTATGGTATGGCTTCATTTCCTTCTCATTGGATATCCTCACTATGAGATACCTCTTACTTATCCTACTGACTCGAGTAGAGCTGAATGTCAACCGATATAAATACTTCCGCTGGACCCCGCGGACAGTCTGGATTTCATTTTGCTATATGGCGCTCGTGCCTGGAGTTTTGGCTTACGTCGGGTACAAAACTGATGTAAGTGTGCTGAGTCCCTCCTCAATTGGCAGTCAATTGCACCTTCCCCATCGTTTTGGCACGTGTTTTGAAGCGAGTGGATTGAACCAAAGCTGATCTGGATCGATAACTTTCACAACTTCTAGGGAAAGCTCGAATTCAGAGGCAAGAGAAGAGGGGATACGATAGTGGAGTGATACAAGTTGTTTCTGTAACTAGGTCGGATGCAAAATGGATTGTCAGGGAGAGGAACTCGACTGCTCCTATTGACAAATCGGTTGCTGGTATATTTCCTCTTACCTCTCCATGGAGCAGGAATATTTGCCCTCCCATACTTGGGAGAACCCTAGTTTGTTGCCATATTTTAAGCTACAAATGTATATCAAAACCAAACTGGATGGGTTAATGTCATGAGGATATCTGTATTCGTCAACCTTAATCTATTTTGTAAACTGTGGCGTCCATAGGAGTGGAAATACAAACAGTAGTTAGAGTAGAACAAAAAAAAAAGACATCTCAAATTCGCAAACAAATAGAGAGGAATCAACAACAACAAAGCAAGGATGGAAAATGTGAAAGTCCATTTACATAGGGTTAAAACGACGATTCGGTGTTTCCGTTCTCGAAGACGACGAAACTCAACGGAAGCGAGTTCTAATCACGTAGCAAATTGAATATCAAATTCAATACGGTTTTCCACGATTCTTTGCATGGCCCCGAACGAAGCTACGCCCTCCTACTTCAGGGATCCTCTCCCCTCTTCTCCATTCCCCAGGAGGAACTCCAGATGGGCCAGTCGGGGGGAATCCTCCACTACTCAGCGATCCACCGGCCCTTGACTTGCCAAACGCAGTTTCCCTTAAGGAAGACGGCCCATTGCCAAAGGCCCTCATCCCTCCGCCAATTGCCGAACTACCCGTTACTCCCCTGTTCATGAGAGCGGGCGCAGTAGAGCCATCGGCCAAAGGAGGGAGAACTGCACAATCGACATAGTCACCAATCACAAAGCGGAAATCTTGTAAGCATTTATCCGCTTCCTCGCCTTGAAGCCTCAATGCCCCGTTTACTGGAAGAGTCTTTTCCCGTCTTTCCGCAACCGGACTTTGTCCAACAATGACACTGCCCATATCTCGACTCAGATACCTCCCCAACCCTTCACCCACAATTCCCTGATTTCTTGTATCTGGGTATATGAGCCGGAAGCTCAAGCGTGTTCCAATAGCAGGATCTGGAAGAATCGAAGGAAGACATGACGTTAAAAGCTGAGCAAGTTCGCGTAGAGAACAAGACGGCCAGGTGTAAATTTGAAGGTGCGGAGGTAGCGTAGGAGGGTGGTTGGTTGTGGTTGCGTTTCGTGTGGATGGAGGGAAAGGGATCGGGAAATCTGAGAGATTATGGAAGGAATGTTGTTTATAAAACAGCTTCAGATGAAACGGTGTTGTTGTCTGGCGGTCAATCTTAGGAGGCGCATCAGACTTGTCGTCCAACATCGTGGCGGTGGAGAGTGCACATGTGTTGTATGCGCGAGGTTGAGTAGGGTGGCCAATGTCGCTGTACGAGTGTACGACGAATTTCACCAACGAGGTGTAGATTTCCACAAATTCAACCCCTCTTACGAGCGATCGGAGCGATCGTGATAGTAGAAACGGTGATGGGCGACTTTGTGGCTGGAGAATGGATGCTGCGGCACCAGGTATCGAGCTTCTTCGGTAGGGTGGCTCAGGTGGCTCAAGTGGCGCTAAGTCAAGGGTTTAGAAGCTTCCAAGTCTCCAATCTTGGAATCTCGGCACAATTTCTTCTCTCCTCACCCACCAGAAAGTCAACAACAAACGTTCACTGATATAACCTGTTGTTTGAGTTGCAATCACTTTATCTCGTATTACCTCTGCGTTATCCAGATTTTGACCACTAACCCGCCATGGATTTCGCCTCGCTAATGGCGAAGGAAATTTCCAAGGCAAAGGCGCCCGAAATTTCCACAGCCACTTCCGACTCTAAGAAGCCATATGTGAAGCGATCAGACACCGAGGCGGCCAGGTTGGCCGCATACCACGCGGAGCAAGAGGAACTGCGCAAAGAACGCGAGCAACGTGCGGAGCGGAAACGTAAGTTTGAGCAGGAACAGTCCGAACGCAATCGGGCAAGGGACGAGAAGAGAAGACAGCTGGCAGAGGAATCAAGGCGAAAAAAAGAAGCCGAAGCGGTGGCTAAAGAGAGAGAAAGGAGAAGGAGACTTGGTCTTCCCGAGGTTCCTGCGGGAAGTCCAAATGACTCGATGCAGGGTTCTCCCCTGGTCGACGATGAAGAAGACCTCGGTGAGGATGAGGTGATTGACAAGCTGAGGGCTGCGGGAGAGCCAGCGATACTCTTTGGAGAAAGCCATAAGGGTCGTGTAAAGCGGTATCGACGACTTTTGCAGCGATCCCTAACCCCACAGCAACAAATGCTTGAAAGGCCAATCGCGACAACCCTTGTTCTTGTCCCCGAAGCTGAAATGAGAGTCCCCCCTAAGTTGCCCACAGATGAGGAAGGTCGTAGATTTCTCTTCCGACAACTGGCATCCTACTTTACAATGATCTTCAAGGAATGGGAAATCGCATTGTCGAAGAGAGATGACGATGTAAAGAATAGCTACCAAGGGAAACAGGCTTATAATGCCATGGTGCAGTCCAGGGAGAATATTCGCCCCTTGTTTAGGAGGTTTGAAAATGGTGATTTAGAAGAGAGTATACTTGAGCCAGTGGTGGAGATTGTACGAAGCGCGCAGGACAGACGCTATGTTGACGCGAACGACGGTTATCTCCGACTTAGTATTGGAAAAGCGTAAGTGAAACGAATTTTTCTCGATTTTCCAATTTACAACTTCCTAAATGTTGATAGACCCATACTATTCGAGTTGCCTTTGCTGACTTGATTGTTTTAGTGCCTGGCCAATCGGAGTTACTATGGTTGGTATCCATGAAAGGTCTGCGCGAGAGAAGCTTCATCAAAGCGATAAGAGCCAAGCGCACATTATGAGCGACGAAATTACACGGAAATTCCTACAGAGTATTAAGAGATGCCTGACGTTTGCTCAGGTCCGCTGGCCTCCAGATGACCAGCTTCAGCTCATGGGCTAATGCTATGCTGTTTCATTCTCGACACGGGGTTGACTTTTGCTTTTCATAAGCCAGGCGTCTATAATGCTCAGGTAGATATCTATCTTTAATAAAAATACAGACCGGAATATCATCGGCAAGGACAAACAGTCTAACCGGTAAAAAATGAAAATAGGTATTCCCACCAACCTTTGAGTGGATTTGCAATCGAATCCGAGCGGACGTGCGTTTCCTGCCCTGTGTCAAGATTCCTCTCTAATTCGTTCTCGATCCTTATGGTGGCATGACTATGCTCCAGTATACCGTTTATAAATGCGCTTTCGGGGTCGAAGTCCTTGTTCCTTTGAGTTCTAGAACCGGGCTTTTCTTCAACAGATCCACTCTGTTTATTGAGTTCTGCTTCGATGAGCTTTCCGGCGGCGTAAATACAACCACCGCAAGCGAATCTGATCAACGAATCGCCGGTCAAACTTCCAATTACAAATATATCTTTCGTGACTTGTAAACCATGCAAGGCCCGAGCGCGCATTGTCTTTCTAGAAACCCATGCGTTTGTTGTCATGTCGTTGCCGAAAATTTCAGCTCGTAGTCGTTTGCTCAGGTACTTCAAACTACTCCTTCGGCCAACCATATATGCTAGTCCACTTACTTTGCGAGAGAGTGTTATCCCATCCTCTCGACGGAATGTGACTAGGGCGCTTCCATTGTCCAACACAACATCCGTGATAACAGCGTTGGGACTACCTTCGTAGTTAACTTGCCAATTTCTGCTGTCGAGGAAGGGGTTCGAAAGTCCACGTGCCTGCCTTGGGCGTCTTGCCCCGTTCTTCTGAGTTAATTGGGCGGATGCTTGTTTCATAAGACGATAAATAGCAGCATATTCGGGGTATTCTTGCTGGTGGCAACTCTTCAGAGGCGACGGATTGGTTTCGAGTTCCCATTTGAAAATGTGGATTATCTGTTGGTCTGGATGAGAAGAAATAATGACATCGGCTGCGGAAAATCCAGACCCAATGACTAAGAGAGGGGCACGTCGCGGTTGCGTCGACGTCAGCGGTGGTAATTTTAACAATGGCAACAACAGAGGTCTCGGAGGAATACGTTCGGTGAAAACCCCCGATGCCAAGATCAGCTTCTTGCAGGTTATATTATGTGAGCCGATATAGAAACCATTCTCAGTGCGATCAACCCTGCTGACCTCCTGGTTGCATAGAATTGATTTGGATATCCCAACAGATGTGGGGTAAGCTGCGAGATATTCCGCCAACGCTTCTCTTGATGGTCTTGTGTACGGCGGCAAAGGAGTGTCGTGGACATGTCGATGGTGCTCAGCGAAACTGTATCCAGGCAGTGAGAGCATACCAGCGTAACTCAATGTTTGGATGTTTGGGGTTGTCCCTTCGGGGCACTCCGCCCATTGGCCTCCCGGCTGATTTGCATGTCCAAGAACAAGATGCGAAGCGGCCATTTCTGGCATATAGCGCCACTGGACGCTCGTTTCTGTTCCATCATCGTCGTCTCCATTTGGACGAATCAAAGCATCAAGAAGAGCGTTGACTGGAAGAGCTTGGGTGGAATATGGGAATCGAGATGCACCGAAATGGCTTGTCAAATGGTCAATGTCTAGGTGGAGCAGCTGCGGGTTGTGCTTTAGCTTTGAATGGAGTAACGGATCCGGATGGGGCTTCTCCGGGTTGTAAAATGGAATATGGCCGTGGAGGATATATGAGAGTACCATGGCCGAGGGTCCATTTCCTGCATCGAGTCATGGAGTAAATTTATATCGATTAGTGGTATTTTAGACATGCGCGGGGAACGTGAGGAGCGAGGAGAATAAAATGCCCACCTACCAACGATGACGATATCAACTGACTTGGGAACATTCAGTGTTTCTGCCATGGACGGCTACTGGATCATACGGCATTATGTGGAGGAGCAGTGGTTGATGATGCAGCTCAACGCCTCCCAAGAGATATCAACAGCAACTCCCGCCTACCACCCCACTGTCCTTCGCATCGGGTGTGCAAGTAAGAGCATATAAACAGCGGCTTATTCTATAATAGGCGAAAGTGAGTTGCGAAATGGCATTCCAAACGATCAGTCAAATATAAAGACGAAGGTGGAAGGTGGGGCGGAATGAAATTTTTTGAAATGTAGAGAGCGACAACCAAACTATCTACGCCGTTGCAAAAAAATGCTTGAATTAACTGATGAGCAATTGAGGGGGCTGACAAATCGGAACCGCTGCCGAGGTTGTTCAAATGAATTTGCTGGTCTGGAGAACTGTGTTATTCTGATGTCATTGAGCCATCCATGATTGTGGGGGAACCACGGATATATGGCATGAGATTGGGAAAATACGCAATGATCAAAAGACTACGGTGTATACCCTCACATCATCTCATTCCATCCTCTCCCAATAAGCAGGTCTACACAAGGACTATTTTTCCACGACTTCGTACGAGCGCTTGTCCCGTTGTTTTCCGGGCAGCTTTTCTTGACAGTCGAGGGTACACACCCTTGCCAGGGCTACATCCAATACTGAGTACATGTACGTGATATATTGAATCATATATCTCTTGAGGAGTAGGTGGCTACCCTAAGGATTGATCCTTTTGGCGTAGTTGGTAAAGTCCTCCTATATGTATATATATATAGTCAAGATTTCATGTTTGACAACATATGATTGGCTGAGAAGGTATTTGAGGTGGCTGGAAGCTTGAATCATGCCGAAAGTTTTTCCGGCCGAAAAGATAAACCAATGCTCAGGCGTGCGCGAGAAATTCAGCATGAGATATACGGCCACGGATATCTAGAATGCTCATATTCCTTCCCCTTACGTCATGATTTAGTTACTGTCGCAACTCTGTAACGCTGTTAGACGTGGGTGGGGATTTGACGTTGTCGCATCGAGTTGATGACGGCAATAGGCCTGTGCCCCTCGGGTGTTGGCATCCTAATCTGAAGACCATGTACCATCTTGCCAAATCGATTTATTTCTATGCTACGAGTAAAGAGGGTATGTCTTGCCCACGATATCATACTTCAACTACCGCCACCCCTTAGACCCCTGTAACCAATTTGCCATCGCCAATACCCAAAATCACTATTGACTTCGCAACAATATAGAATACTCCGTCCTGCTCCTTGGCCTGGATAATGCAGGAAAAACCACTTTGCTAAACCAGATAAAAGCTCTCTTCCTCCCCACCGACCCAAACAACACCACGACGCAGGCCCTCCCTGGCAAAACCGTCCCAACTGTCGGCCAAAATGTCGCAACTATTCCGCTTCCAGACATGTACTTAAAAATATGGGATATAGGAGGACAGATATCAATGCGTGGCCTCTGGCAAAGCTACTATTCGAGCTGTCATGCAATTATTTTTGTGGTCGATAGTGCAGATGTAGGCGAAGACGCAGACGTTTCGCGCCTTGCTCAGAGTGGACATAAAGGAGGGCCAAATGCGCCGTCGAACTCCAAGGGACTTTCAGGTGCTATTACCGAACCCATGAACGCCATAGATCCCCAGGGTGAATTTGGGAGATTGGATGAGTGTCGCCAGGTTCTTGAGTCCGTATTGCAGCATGCGGAGACGATCGGAGTGCCCATCCTTGTGCTCGCGAATAAGCAAGATAGAGAAGATTGCGTGGAGGTAGTGAGGATCAAGGAAGGTTTTGTGAGAAAGGTGTTTGAGGGCGAGGAAGGGGGTGGTGTGCGAGATAGTCGAGTGTTGCCCGTCAGTGCGCTGATGGGGAGCGGGGTGAGGGAAGCAGTGGAATGGGTTCGCAGCAGGGTGAAATGGAACAAGGAAAGCAGACCTCCTGTGATGAGATAAAAAATAGATAGCCGTGATATTCTACCCGTTTCCATTGGAATAGCCATATACCCAATTTTTATCTGGTTTTACCGGGTGTGCGTTAATTCAACCGCGTTGGCATTCACCAATAGGTTTTGTGCTGCTGATCCTGAAAAAAAAAAATGTTATAAAATTAGTGCTAGGTGCTCCTCTAATTGAATTGTATACATCATTCCTTGCTCCCAGAATGCATTCAAAACCACTCAAGATTCCTCTTCAGTACAAGTAACTTTCTCTGCCTTAGCTAAGAAAAGCCTTCTTGACAATATTGCAAGCAGTCGTGGGCGCTTAAATGCAGAGCAATATAGATCCTAAGTCGCACCATTCCTGAAGCCGCCACACCAAAAACGTTGTTTGAATCCTAACGCCGGCGCTCGAAAAGTGGAGTTTAGGCATTCAGAAACGAATAGTTTCGTATAGATCCAATCCTGGAACGACACCAAATAGGCGCTGGCTCTCAAAATGAGTAGGCTAGCCACGATTTCGGTGTGTAGGGGTGTGCATCTGCTAGTTTCGAAAATGTGAGTATTTTTATGCGGCCATACCAACTGAATTAGTATATCACGCTCGGTCGTGCGGTGCTGCGCCTCGATTCTCGGTGAATAGAGGAATCGACTTCATGGGACTCCGTGCTTCCTACAGTCGGTTTCCTTGGCCAGCTTCTCGCAATATCAATGCTGCTACGGGGGAACCATATTTCAAGGAAAACATAGAGCAAGAAGTCTATGACAACGCAAAGACAAAACAATTTCCCAGCCCATATGCCACAGCCGTAGTAGCGTTTTAGTCGATCGATGAGAGCGAAGCTATTGATGCGGCCCCTTGTTGCAGTCCAACCTTGTCCAGGAAAGTAGCCGTAAAACTCTTCTTCGCTTATGGCACCACATATTCCATTGTAAACACGCTCTGTTCGTCGGGCGACATCCGTCCACGAATACATCATGCGTACTTGTTCATGAAATTTGTCAGTGCAGACTCTGTTCGAGCGAAGGGCTGCAATTGCCTTGCCGGTCGCCTGAACAAGATCATCTTCCTCAGGTTTTGCAAATGTTGTCATGTGCTGTGGCAAGACTTCTGGGATGCCCCCGACACGGGTACAAACGACGTATAGTCCACAACTAGCGGCTTCTACAATCACCGTTCCGAATGCTTCAGTCAAACTCGGATGAAGATAGATATGTCCCCGCACCATCACATTGCGGACTTCCTCATGTCGAACCGCTCCGAGGAATTCCACTTTGTCTTGTAGAACTTTACGTTCTAGCATTTGCTCTAGGTCAATAGCCTTGGGCCCTGAACCTGCGATAATGAAGCGCACATTCGGGTGAGAAGCTAAGATTCTTGGTATCGCCGCAATTAACAGATCTGTTCCCTTGTTATAAAAAAGTCGTGATATAACAACAATTGTGATAATATCATCCGGGCCCAATAAGGCACGTGGCACAGGCGTTTTGTTATTTTCATCGGCGCTGTACGACAAGGGACGAAAATTCTCGGCCACAACGGCGTTAGGAATAACTGACACCATCAGAGGATCGAGAGAAGCGCGAAGGACTGTGTTCTCCTTGCTACATAATGGCAATCAGCACAGTCGTGACTTCTGACTCGCCCCCAAAGCTATTTAAAGCTTACCAGGTATGGCTGACGCAAATAACATGGTCAACATCACTCAGGGTAAATTTCAGGAGTTTGTTCGTAAGGATTGAACCCGCGTCTGCGAAACCAAACAGCGAGTGATCTGTAAAAACTGTGCGCAAGCCCATAGTGCGCGCGTGTAGAATGGCTTCATGGCAAAAACTGCTCAGACTTTGATGTCCGTGCACAATCGCAATCTGTTCGCGTATTATTATGTTACGAAAAATGGGGAAGAAGGAGAAGACCGTAGGCATAGTCGATTCGCGGTAAATGACAAAAAATGGGACATAATAGACCTTGAGTCCATTACTGAGATATCGCACTCCGGTCCGGCCCTTATAGGCATGAGTGACGATGATAACTTTATGGCCCCTGTCTATTAATTTCTATAGTGCAAGTCAACACCTCGCCACGAGAGAGCATTTTTAAGCTGTACTGACGGATGAAAGTTGGTATATGTGACTTTCCACTCCTCCTAGACATTGTTAGCCATGCGTTGCATGTTCCCAATATAAATATTCTCATAAAACGTACCAGGTTGGGGGAAAAAAAAGTCACTAATCATACTGTGACTGTTAATTACTTCGTCCTTGGGGGGTTTATGGGGATATTTGGAAGTGAATAGCTTACGCAATATTATATGGCATTTTGACGACGATAGCATTCTCCTCCGCAACGTGTTTAGGACACTCATAGTTTCCAGAGTATTCCCCTAGTTTACAAAAATTAACGATGAATGAAACAAGATGTCGGAGATAGTTGCAGATGATGCGTTGGAGGCGGTGAGCTTTTCTGCCAATATCAAGAAATTTCCAATCTCAGGTGTGTTTCAGCAAATCTTCATCAAGCATGACCCGATATTATGGCTGCCTCATTTCACCTTAGATACATTCCTCCAAGGGACGATCCCGCACCTAGCCATTCTAAAACCTTGGTGTCTCCGGCTGCGTTTGAAAAGCGGAAGAGAAAACATGATCCCGCCTACGATGCACCAATTCCGCCATCCATTTCATCCAAGAAGGCCAGGAAGCATGAACGGGACGAAAATCCGGAGGCTTCTAGCGCGGACCCACAATCTCACCTGGCAGCAGTTAGACGGCAGGACACATATTCGCATTCCTATTCGAAAGCAGAAAGTAATATTTCGCCCGCAGCGGAGGGGCAAGAACATGTTCAGATTAATTCGCTCATGGGAGGGCAGGAAAACAAGGACCTTAAACAAAGCAACCATAGAGCATCAACGCCTTACAACGCACCTAAAGTGTCTACGGATTTAAGCCATAGGTCGGAGCTGTCAGGGAAATTGGATCGGAAAGATGGTGATGTATGGACTAAAATTGCTCCAGAAAAACATGCCGGGGTCTTGTCAAAATTCGAGAAGTCGACATTAAAGTCGACATCAGCAGCTCCCAAGAAAAGCCAATCAAACATGATCGGTGACAGAGGCACTGAGAACATCACTCCCCATGGGCTTGAACCATTCCCACAGCCTGCCTCTTCGCCACTCGATATCGAGTCGCCGACATACTCGACGCTTCCTGCTTGGCTTACTCAACCCTTCGCTGCCGCCACCCTGTCCGAACGAAATTTCTCAAACCTAGGAGTGAACAAAACTCTTGTTTCAGTTCTTGAGAGGCGCGGATATACTGAAGCCTTTCCCATCCAGGCAGCCGTTTTAGAATTACTTGGTACCGGTAAACATAGGCATTCGGGGGATCTTTGTATATCAGCTGCCACAGGTTCCGGGAAAACTCTAGCATACGCTCTCCCGCTGGTAGCAGGTATTGAACAGTCATCCTATCCCAGATTGCGAGGACTAGTTGTTGTGCCTACACGAGAGCTCGTTTGGCAAGCTCGAGAAGCTTGCGAACTCTGTGCTACCGGGACGGGCCTCAGGATAGGAACAGCCGTCGGTACGGCATCGCTAAACGAAGAACAGGCGTCCCTCATTAAACACGAACAATTGTACTCTCCCTGTACTGATCAAATAAAGAACATTCAGCAGATGAGCGCTGATTCCTGGACGTCGTTCAACATTCAGGAGTATATTTCCGAAGCTGAGAGCTCTCCTTCGGCGTTTCCCAACCATGTTGCAATCCCGTCACCCAGCGTTGACATCTTAATATGTACTCCAGGCCGACTTGTTCAGCATATCAAGTCTACTAAAGGATTCACATTGGGACATTTAGAGTGGTTAGTGATTGATGAAGCCGACCGCCTACTGAACGAAAGTTTTCAAGAATGGGTCGAGGTTGTGATCCCAGCTTTAGACAGAAACAGAATCGATGTCAATGCTAAAAGTGGGGGGGTTTTGCAGGAGCTGGGATGGAAAACATGCAAACCTAGACTTCAAAAGATAATCCTCAGCGCGACCATGACAAGAGATATCTCGAAACTTCAGGCTTTGCGATTGAGAAATCCCAAACTTGTAGTTTCCGATGATCCAAGAATTAGTAACGTTGCGAAGATCCCTTCAGAAGCGCATGGAGATATCATCAAAAAGGATGACCATACATCTAGTCTACCTTCAACTTTGCGTGAAATGTTTGTTCCAGTTGGTGATGCTGCAGAGAAGCCACTTTATCTCCTTACTCTTTTACTTTCACATTTTAAGTTGGGTGGGGGCAATGCTGCGAGCCTTCCGCGATCTCGTTCTCATTCGATCACATCGGACTCAAATTCCACCAGCTCAGCTTCAAAGTCATTGGAGGATAGTTTGCTTGACGCGTCGTCAACAGCATCCCATAGTCCCTCTGATACCGATTCGTCAGAACAATCAGCAGCCGACGTCCACAACTTTAAACCAATGGCAGCATCTGCGTCCGTGTCTTCTGTTTTGATCTTTGCCAGGTCTTCCGAATCAGCATCAAGACTAGCTCGTCTTCTCTCACTCATGCACCCGCCATTTGCCAACCGTATCGGAACCCTGACAAAGTCCAACAAGTCCAGTACCTCGCGGAAAACACTATCTGCATACCGCAACGGCAAATTATCAATTGTCATCGCTACTGACCGTGCATCTCGTGGTTTGGATCTTCCTTCTCTCACACATGTCGTGAGTTACGACATTCCCACCAGCCTAACATCATATATTCATCGCGTCGGCCGAACAGCTCGTGCCGGCCGATCAGGGTCGGCCTGGACACTGGTTGCCCATAGTGAAGGGAGGTGGTTTGCCAACGAGGTCGTAAAATGCCGTAAATATGGCGTTTCGAGAGTCGGCACTGTCGAAAAAGTCATCGTCAAACTTGATGAAGAAAATTCCCATTTTAAAAAGAAATATTCGGATGCATTGGGTCTGTTACAAGTAGAGGTAAAGGGGACTCAAGCCAAGCACAGGTAGCCGGGGAAACCTGGGTTTTGATAACCTTTGCGCTGCTGGTACATGTATATATAATCGTACGATTTTAAGTTGTCCGAACATTTTTCATGCCGAGCCCATTGTAATTATTCATGTTTGTACTTGATGTCCAGAGTAGTTGCTAGCACTTTATCGGTATTTAATATTCTGGCTCGCTGGCCTACATAATATGCCGAACAGAGCATATCCATTTATTTGGTCCATGCAACTTTCTTGGTCACTTTGTACCGCCACATGCCCGAATGCGAATAGCCGCTAGACTAGTCCTCATTTGTGGCGTCTAAGCTCACCTCTAACGCGCGTCCTACGGCACTACCCCTGAACAGGACAGGTATATACGGAGTATATGCTGAGGTATTTCACCGAAATCCTGAGGTGCTCTAGTGATCAGCTACATTGTTTCCTAGTTATACTCAATATTATTGTTTCTCCTCCATACGCTATAGCTCTTCACATTGTCTACTAGGCCTACGCCCTCACAATTATGATTAAATTGATATTTGAGATAAATATGAATCTTAGACTACAAGAATTCAACAACTCCAGCTCTAGCAGCAATGTTAGATAGATTGTAATATTGCAATGATGTATATATATAGCCAGAGTATCATATAATTTATATATCAGTAGATAATCTAGCTATCAGCAGTGACAGAATCATTCCTTCTACAGCTTCAGAAGTCTGTTGCTGTATCAATGTTATCACTAAGCTTTTTAAATATTAGCAGCTCCTGGGCGTGTGTAGTATCAATCCCCATCATGAGACAGCCCAATGAAGACGATTATAACAAGTTCCACAAATCTACGCCTTGAGTGAGTTAATAGATATACATTGCGAGATGATCTGAGACTGCTAGATCATGGAACTCATTTATAACGTTAAGTTCAGAAGAGTTTGTGAAACTGAAGTTTTGAAATATTAAACGAAACTATCACCAGGGGCCTTGAATGTTCGTGTGACATACTATTTCTATCAATGTGAAAGTCAGTACTCATTCTGGGAATATTTTTGCTCTCTAGCATTGAGCTTTGACCGAGCAGAGTGATCCATGGGCAGTGAGCCGAATACTTTCTGATGATTGCGCATAAATTAGCGCAAGAGGACGACACTAGGCTAAATGGAATCAGTTAAACGCTTTTTGAATCACCGACTGAAAATGTATTACAAGAGTATATGTTCGATGATGTTGCAAGGAACATATAAGAACAAATACATGTACGAACATCTCAATTAGTTTGAACTAGTCGTATTAATATTGTGTGGGATAAATATTCGGAGTCAAGGGTAGAACTGGAACTAGCGGGACGTTTCATTATCCCAGCGCCCAGAGTTAGTTCAACGGATAAGGTGGACATGTATCTGGGATTGGAGTACATTCGGCATAGCTTTCAAGGAATTTGAGGATGCTTCAGAGAAAACAGTGAAGTTGGGATTTGGAGATCTGCATCGAAAGGGTTTCCCGTGCCCAACGACCTGGGGGAGAAGTACCAAGTAGGAGTTAAAGCGTATGGGGATCAACTGAGAGGAATCCCAAGGAGTCAAAAGAAAACATTAAGGTATATAGTTTACTATCGTAAGAACCCGCAAAGGCTGAAATGTGAATTAAAAAGCAATTAACTTTCCTTCGAACATAACTATGTATCCAGGATATATACTTGCCAAAACGAAAAGTAAACAGCAGCAGACAGTTAACTATTTCTTGCATGGGGGAATATGTCCTAAAGCAATACAATTACTATTGCAAGAGCCGCAGCAGCACTTATATAGTACTGAGATAAAGGAACAAGGATAGAATTTGCGGTACCGGGGAAACCAATCGGGGGAGAATCGGTAGGGCTCCCTCCAGTTGGACCGGAGTCAGTTGGTGGCGTTTCACCTCCACTTCTGTCTGATTGTGTAGGGCTATTCGATGCCGAAGGGCTTTCACCTGGTCCACCTGTGGTGGGAGTTGGAGTGATCTCAACCCCAGTCTTAGCCGGTGGAGCGGTTGTCGAAGCACCGTCGGTTGGGCTGGCGGTTTTGGAAGAATCACTTGATGGCAGTGTATTGGGTGCTTCGGTAGGGGTTACTGGAGTTTGTATGGGAGTTTCGGAGGGAGATCCTGGCGGAGATTCCGTGGGAGTGGTTGGGGGTGGATTCATTGTTAAGGTCGAGGGTCCACCAGTAGTACTTTGTGCTGGCGGCGGGGATGTTTCACCTGGCG